GCTTTGCGGCTCCTGGAATGAATGGGCCTCTGTCTTCAAGGCTGTGTGAGCCTCTGTGTATGCAGGTCCCATTAACTCAACCTCAGCCACACGTAAAAGGGGAGAGGCCCGAGGAGCCTAAAGCACAGAGTCCTTCCGATTTAGAATGAAGTAAAATGTGCAGAATGCACAAACTGCAGCTCAGAACAGTGTGTTGACACCCCACCCAATGTCCTGTTATTCTCTCTCCTTACCCCTTCTGCTAATTTCCTCTTGAGCAGGCTCCAGTAAGTGAACCTATGTGCATGGCCATGTCAGCTTCACTCAGTAGCGTGCCCCTTCCAGTGTCTGAAGCCCTGGGTGAGGCTTTCTCCTGCCTAAGCTCTAGCATCCACTTTGGATGCTCATACCTCCAGCCAGCCAGCCTCAGTCGCACAATTGTATCTGTAATGGACAGGCAGGCTCAAGTCCTATCCAGGGGCCCTATGTTCTCACTGCCCCTTTCAGAGCTCTCTGGGCCCAGGCCCCTGTTGCCTTTGGCTGTAGTTTGTTTAACGGAGTGACTCCTGTCTGGGAGCAGGCTGGAGCACAGGACACAGGGAGACAGTTGTCCAAGCTATTTTTTTTTAATTTTTATTTTACCATCAGCGCCAGACCACAGTGATGAGCTTAGTGGCCTGGCTGGGTGCCTTCCTCATCCCTGCGACCACTATCCTGGCCCCAGTCACCAATGGCCTCTGGTATAAGACTTCTAGTTATCCACTAGAAGACCTCCTGGGTTGGAGTCTGGTCCCCTACATAACTGAAGGGAGATATGACTTCTGAAGAAGTAACGAGCTAAGAGAGCTTCCTGGGGACCAAAGGACAGACCGATGGAGACCAGCAACCATGCCATATCGTCCCTATTCTCCCAGTGCCTGGCACCAAATAGGATCTAAGGTAGTTAAGTGAGTGAATGGTTGAGTAGATGGTTGTAGACAGATAGACAGATGGACAGAATAAACTCATTTGTCCATGAAGATATTTTTATCAAAATCTTACCTGGTTCTTGACCCAAGCATGGGAAAGGCTTAAGTAGAGACATCACTGAATCTAAGGGAATGTTGTTAGCCCAGATCCCTTCTGGAATGTCTATGGGACTACCTTAGAGGTTGGGGCTGTGTAAAACTGGTCCACTCACCATCCCTACTTCTACCACTGATTCCTCCCATGAAGGATGCAGTGCCCGCTAGAGGAGGCCCTGTGCAGCCAAGTGAAGTAAGTGGGATGACTGGGCTGTAGCTCAGGAGCCATGGCACTGGGTATGACACAGGGTTGGCGCTGTAGCAAGATGCTATGTGCTTGCACCAGGGGATAGGAAGCCTGGCACACCGCAGGTACTGCGGTAAATACTGAACCAATAAAGCATTCCTATGCTTTCTCTCGTTGTCGCCCCTAAATCATTTTCTAACCAGTGAATTGTACTACTCTTATCTTGGAGAAGGAATGGATCAGATTAGCAGCCCAGCTGAAGGAGGAAGAGACATGCACCACCCTCAAGCTCTCCAGCTTCACTCACGAGTGCTGCCATTCCCTCGCAAAGATCCCTGGTACTGAGTGTCTTAGGGAAGCAAATGTCCAAGGCCCCCCTCTTCAAATCTAGTTACTATTCTCTGCAAGCCTTCCATTAAATTACACCTGGAAAGCACGGGTTTGAGGCCCAAAGAGTGTCGCCTCACTGAGTCCATGCTCCAAGCAGATGCAAGAGAGCTATTGGCTCAGGGCAGCCAAGAAAGGCCTTGGAAGCCGGGGAAAACAATTAGGAGCAATTACCATCAAGAGAGGCCTCTGGTGAGGGTGGAAGCCAAATGCGATGAAAAGCGGCAGAACCGTCTGGGGACGAGCAGAGGGTGGGGGAAGGGCCGGGAGAGCACCACAATTCTTTTCTAGTCAGAGGCTCAGGCCGCCTCCCACTTAGCTCCTTGAATACAATTTCCCTCACAGGGCAGAGGAGCTTAGTATGCTTTGGGGTGGCGGGTGTGGGAGACAGAGCGACAGCACTGGGTTCTGCATTCCTGAGATTCTCAAGCCTGGGTAGAAGAAACTCCACAATGACAAGAGTGAGTGAGGCAGTGAAAAGACAGAATGGACCACTAGAACTGTGTGTGTGTGTGTGTGTGTGTGTGGTGTGTGGTGTGTGTGATTGTGTGTGTGTGGTGTGTTCTCGTGTCCCTACCTAGCACAAACCTTGCCCAGTTCCCGAGGCCATGTGGATGGGCTGGGGTCACCTGGCATCTATGCATTTCATCTCCCTCTGCCCTTAGTCTTATGGTTTTCTGGGTTTGATGAGACTCTAGAGGAAAAGGATTGGACAGGCAGTGGAGAGAGAAATGACACTTGGGAGAAGGGTGGAAGAGAACCTTGTCACCTCTTGTCTGAAGGAGCCAAGGAGGCTGGGCAATGGTGGCGAAAACCTTTAATCCCAGTGCTTGGGAGGCAGAGATAGGCGGATCTCCCCAAGTCTAGAGTGAGTTCCAGTCAGCTAGTGTTACAAAAAGACCCTATCTCGAAAAACCAAAACACAAACAAGTCAAGGAATCAATGAACCCAGAGCAGGACTCAGCCTCTTCCTCCTCTGTCCAAACTAAGGTGAAGAGATGAGTAAAGACCCCATCTTGTTCACAAGGGACAACGGAGTGGTCTCCCTGAAGGCTCTCTGCCCAGGCTGCAGCTTCACACAGCTGCAGGTCTTTGGGGAGGTGCCTTCCTCGTGAGCATGAAGTAGCCATGGGGCAGCAGCACATCAGTGCCCGGCTCTGGGATGGGAGAATGACCTGGAAGACTTAGGCGGGCTGTTTAGTGTCTGTGCCCCGTTTTCTCATTTCAGAAGTGGTGACACTAGTTCCTAATCACAGACCTGGGCGTTGATGGAGCAATGCATACGCAGTGGCTGGCATGTAGGTATAGGGCCAGGGCCTTGAATATTACTGCCATTACATTACTAATATGATTAGAAGATGGTTCTAGCTGCTAGGTAGAAAAAAATAAAACAACAACAAAAAACCCTTGAAGCCAGAGACTCTGTAGTGGATAGGAAGCAGAAATGAGGAAGTGATAAATTAGATTAGGGGCCAGCCCAGCACTTGGGAGGCTGAGAGATGTGGATCTCTGAGTTCGAGGTAAGCCTGATATACATGAGTTCCAGGTCAGCCAGAGCTACACAATGAGACAGACAGACAGACAGACAGACAGACAGACAAGACAGACAGACAGAAAGCCAGTCAAAGTGGGAGCTCTCAAAATGTAAGGCAAAGTATGCAGGCACATGCTATAGTTCCAACATTCAGGAGAATGAGAAGGATCAAAAGCCTGGCTATATAGTGAGGCTATCTCAAAAATAAACCCATGGGGCTGGAGGGATGGCTCCACAGTTAAGAGAGTCTTCCAGAGGACTCAGATTCAACTCCCAGCACCCACGTGGTGGCTCACAACTGTGTTACTCTGGTTCCTGGAAACTGACGCCCTCTTCTAGTCTCTGCAGGCAATAGGCACACGAGTGGTACACAGACATATGCATGCAAAACACTCATATACATAAAATCAAAATAAATGCATTTAAAAAGCATAATGAAACATGAATCCAAAACAAAAGTCAGTTGTGATACATGCTTCGGAGACAGAGAGAAGGATCAGGAGCTGAGGGTCATCCTTGGCTACATAACAAATTTGAGGCCAGTCTGGGTTACATGAAACTCTGTGTCTTTCAATTAACACACTACCTGGGATGCCAATAACAGCAATTCATTCACCCTTCAGCCAGCCTGTCTCTTCATTTGTTCTGGACAGCTTGAGGAGTGCGGACAGTTTAGCAAGAGACGCGTAACACAAGTCAGGAACTAGCATCATGCCCAGATGCTGGTAAATACAGAGGAGAAAAATGTGAGGGAAGAAGCTGCAGACTTAGGATCTGGGTGTCCAACAGTTAGAGGAAGCGGCAGAGATCAGGTGGTAACACTAAGCAGCAAGGGAGAGGAGTAGGGTGGCAGTTAGAGAGAGGGAGTGGTCCAAATGCAGGGTCTGCCAGGCCATGGCAGAAACAGAGGCCTGGTCTGCAGTGGGCAGATGATAAATGCACAGGAGCAGGTGAGGAGCCAACATGCCCCTGAGGTCTGGGAAGTTCCGGTACACAAAGAACAAGCACTGGTCCCCTTTCCTTAGGGACTTTCTGCAGAGCCATGGCCAGAGAACCATCCAGGAGGGCTGGGGAGAGGGCATCTTCATGGACACTAGGTGAAGGTCCCACTTTGAGAACAGTCTTTCTGTTTGGTGCCAGGTAAAGAGTTAGGCAATTGCCAGCTACCTAACCAGAGTCAGGAAGGGCATGGTTTAAAGGTTTCATTTCTCACTCCAGCCACTGTTCCATGTTTGAAAAATCTTAATCACACCAAAACTCCTAAGGGTTCAAAACTCTATCCAGGGAACAACCTGGGCTCTCCTAATCAACAGACAGATGTTTCTCCCCGAGGCTGTGAGCAGCTGTACTTTTGTAGTTTCACTCTTTGAGCATGAGCAGTAGGGGAAGCACTGAGAGGTAAGAAAGGCATGCAGGAAAGCAAGGAGACAAAGGTGCAGTTAGCAGAGTGGTCTGGAGTCCCGACTGCTGCACTTGGCCTCGAGAGAGCTCTCTGGCAGCCTCTACAGACAGGCTTAGTTTCTGAAAGCACCAGAAAGCCACAGATTTGCATGTTATTTGTGTTGCAGGCTTCACTTCCAGGTATGTGGAATGAAATGAATGAATGAACAGTATTCAGTCTCCTGGTTAAGGGGTGGATTCAGAAATCCAGACCACAGTGAGGATCCAATCACTGGTCTAGTTTGGATCAGCAGATAGTTAGGGGATATCTATCTATGTAACGTATACGCATATGTGTACACTCTCTCTCACACACACACACACACACACACACAATCTCATATATGAGAGGAGACAGAAACAGTCTCACAGTCTCTGACAAATATATTATTGAGCCCAGAGTCCCCAGTCAAAGCACAGAAGCAAAATCCACAGAATTTATTTTAAATAAGTCGATTAAAAAAACAAAACAAAAAAACCAACCCCCAAATGGGAGTGACATACACAGAAAAGGCAATACCCTGACACATCCCCAGCCCTTGCCTTCATGTCAGCTTCTTTCTCAACTACGCACTAATGACAAGGTACATTTCTGTTTGCTTAGCCTCCCCCATCGAGCAAACTGTAAATGTATAGACTGTAAAGCCCTGAGGACAAGTGGCTTTTATTCCTTGGTCAAACCATCTTTTCTCCCCATTTCAGGGCTCTTAAGTCCAGAGCTTGGCCTCACATTTAGGAAATACCCCAACAAGGATTCCCTGTGTTTCAGTTAAGGAAGTGCCTTTAGGCGGCAAGACAGAGAGAGCTACCCATCATCTGAATGTGCAAGGGATACCACTGTCAATAAAGGATGGAGGAGAAACCTACTCAAAGGGGTAAAAGATGTTCTCATAAGCCTCTTGGGGTAGAGCCTGAGAACCCCAATTGGCAGCACGCTCAGTTGATGAGGAGGAAGGTGCTTCTGCTAGAGGCCAAGTGGAGCACTGTTTGAGATCTAAAAGAACCTCTGGGACTCCAGCACTTGGAAGTGATGAGGAATAGCAATCCTTCCTCGCATCCTTATAACACAATTGTTCTAATGGCTCAGAGAGTGAGCCCTGCCAAATCCTTGGCAGACCAGAACACAGAGGCTTGCACTCTTGATTAGAAAAACAGCATCAACCCATTCCCCTGGCTGTGACAGCTCCATGCTTTGGTCCACATCCGAAGGCAAACAGGGAAGTTATCCCATTCCCTCATTAGGGCTACAGAAGTCCAGACAAGAGATTTTAAGATAATGTGACCAGAGAGGGCTTTAAGATCAGACTTGGGTGTGTGTACTTAGTAGGTGCTTAAGAAAGGACTAAACTGAATGAGGGTGTCTGAGCAGAAGGGAGTCTGGGCTTCTGGGTACCGCTCTCCCACTCACCTCTGCTAGCAGTTGGGTTCTGTCAAGAATAAGATAATCCCTAGAAGTAAAAAATAACTGATGGCTACTCCTCAGCTTAGAAGGAAGAAAAGCCTGCATCTAGGTATGTTATATTTAGCAAGGTTCTGATGTAGATGTTAATTCTACAACCAAGCCAGTGTTCACACTGATCTTCAACTTCAACTTGAAAGCATTTTACTCTGTATAGCCTCGGCCATGCAGGCAGAGCAAGGAAAATCAAAACAACCGAGTGCTAGTTACTTGTTACTCTGACATTTTTCAGAGCTTGGAGGATGGCAGAGAAAGATTGGAGGTTAGGAATTCTGAAAACAATGAAGCTCTTGAACGAATCTTCTCCTTAAGACCCACGAGTGACTGTGCCGTGGGACGTGTAAAACCAGGTGGTGATGACAGGCAGACTATGGGTGGGGTGGGTGGAAATGTTTTGCCAGGTTATCTTTTCTACCCTTAAACCACTAGGACACTAGAGCTACCAGTGCTGAGGACAGTGAGCAGAAGAGGCTAGTGTGATGACACTGGCTAGAGAACAGAACCTGGTATCACAAGGAACCACACCTATCTAGAAGAGTGAACTCTGATGGCAAGTCTCTAGGCTGTACGATGGAGAAACACTTACATGGAACACTACTCAGGACTCCTGGGAGTCACAGTGGGTCTCAAGTGATCAACAGGATGTAACTATCTTCCATACACCATACCACGTATTCTCAAAAGGGCAGAAACACGTCCTATTTTCTGCATATGCAGTCCAGGGATAACAGCTGGGACTGTGTTTTTTGTTGAAGTGTCTGTAACTGCCATGTAATGCTTATCATCCTTCAAATATTCCTTTTTTAGGGGAGGGTAGATGGTTATAAGCATTGAACCTGGGGAAAGGAGATCAAAAGAAGGAAAACAACAGGCACATTTAGTTTAAAGCACATTAAATAGATACTGGTAGCATACCCTTGACTACAGAATACAGAAACATCATCTTCAGTCTTTGTCATCAAAGTTCACTCTTGAATTAAGGAAGTTTCCAGGTACTTGCTCTGATCTCTAAGAATGGCTTACTATACAAGTCTGTACATGATTCCCATTTAATCACCCTGTCTCCTCTGTCTACTCTTATTAGTCCTGGGATGGACAGTGGCCTTGGGATCACTAGCTTTTACCTGGTACACACTTAAACTGCATTAGAGAAAGGGAGCCGACCTCAGACAGGCTCAAGAATTCCTTACATATTTTGCAAAGTGCTTTTGTTGCATGTTTCATATTCTGAAATACATGGCAATAAATATCTGTTGCTTTGGTCCATACAAAAAGTCTCTGAGGAAGATAAAACAGATATTGTCTAAAGAAACAAACAATAAACATAGAAAACTATCTTTGAAGAGCTCCAGATAATAGTGGGCAAAGTCTGAAAAGCTTGTCTTTTATCAATAGTCCAAAGTGCCACCAAGTAAGCTGTCACTTACATACAGAGAATCATATACTATCTAGGAGTCTGACAATGAGTCTGCATGCCACAGTTTTCTAAAGGAGAGTGTGAAAGGTCCCAGCAACTCATATACAGAAAGCTATTTATTTCCTATAGAAAATCAAAGGAAAAGGAAAGGGAGGGAAGATGGAGGAGAAGAGGAGTAGCAAGAAGGAGACATAAATGTACAAAGCGGTCTCTTCCTCCAGCATGCAGGGAACAAAGGAAGAGGAAGAACACTGGTCGTTGGAGTGGAGACGGTAACATTCAGTTTAACAATGGAATATTAAAAAAAATAGTTGTTGTTTTCAAATTGTAACCTGTGGTAAAACATAGAAAAATGTACTAAACAAGCTTGGTATAAAACAGAGTAAAATTTTCCAATAAGCCGAGGAGAAAGCACAATGCTGGAAAGGATGGGCACAAGGGGAGAGGAGAAGAGAGTTTATATAAAACTACCTATTACAATACAGAAAAAGTATAAAATGTTCCTGTCTGGAACCTAAGTACAAAATGACACTGGCATTGGATCATCTCACCATCTAACCCTTAGGAGCTCTCAGAGGGTGGGAGATGCTACAAAGAACAAAAGGAATAGCTTACCAATCTAAACTCTACCCCCACACATACCTTTTTTTTTTTTTTAAGCTGAAAATGCTGTTTACCTTGGTAACACTTACTCCTAAGCCAAAATTCATCCAACTCTCAAAATATTCTTAGGAAGTCTACAAACACCTGATATGTAGCAGTTGTTGGGATCACTGTGTGCTGGAATTTGAAAGATGAAAATAAACCTACAGACTAAATGGTGAACACATTCAGTCTTTCTTTTCTTTTAAAAGCATATCCCTGTGAAATATATATTTCACATGTGTGTGTATACATATATGAATGTATACACACATATAGATAGATATATATGTATATAAAATTCTCTGTGGTTAGAAACATTTAAACTAACCAGCCACAGACCACCTAGACCTGTATTTATCCAACTCTGGTACTTGATGCTAAAGCCCGAGGCCCTTCTTTTCTTCTTGGTCAGAAGCAGGCAACCGTGAGGTGGGGGCCCTGCTGCTGCACTCAGCATGTCGGGGTAGGTCCTCCCCACAGCACATGCGCTAGCACATGCAAACCCCTGCTTGTAAGGGAAGGCCTGCTTGTGACTTTAGGGTCTGCCAGGATGTGTGCACTGGGCTCAGAATGGGATGACACTGCCAGTGATAAAACAGCTTTGAGGAGAAGCAGTTGGGTTTCACATCAGGGCATATAAATAGGAAGGGTTCTGGAGGAGGGGGCTTAAGCTCGTGCCTCAAAGTCCAGTTTATAGTCCCATTCCTAACTCTGCATCTTGGGAATCATGTGTATGTCTACGTGCTGGTGGTTTTTAGTCTACCTGCTGTCCATGCCCTTTCCTACTTCTTGGTAAGGCCTAGCAACAAGAGTTTATAAGAAGCCAAGATTCTTCTCAAGTTTTCCTTGGGCTCCTAGTTAGGGACTCAGTGAGGCTGGAGCCCTTTGGAAACAAGATGGCAGAGCTGAGGTGAAAAGCAGTCTCTCTCCAGCTTAGGGATGTCCCTCACCCCTTTCACAGCACCGAAGTTTCTTTGCAAAAATAGTATCTGAGATACAAAAGGAAAGGCAGATGTGCTTGTGAGTGCGTCTCGCCTGGGCTGCTCCAGGGTCAAGGGTGGCACACCAGCAGGGCGAGGGGCAGCTGTCCCAAGGTCTCTGGCTGCAGACGCAAAGGGCTGGTCCCCCACACTGTCATGTCTGCTCTCTGACACAGTCTTCACAAGAGCTTCCGGTGGAGGATCTCCCAGACCATTCGCTTCCGGAAATATGGCATGTGTTGCTGCAGGAACATAGACACACTCTTCACTTTCACATTTGTAGGTACTATACTCCTTTCTCCATATTTCCCCTTTTCTTAAGGTTTTCAACCAACAGACTCATTTCTGGTCTCTCAAACTGCTCGTTCAGGGTTACATGTAGCCTTTTCTTCTCACTGCTCCTTTCTACTACTCTGTAGCCTCCAGGAGTTATAGTGGGCATCATTTGGTGTCTTCAGGCTATGCCCAAATGACTCCAAAAACCCTGAGAACAGCGCCTCATGGTGAAGAGACTAAGGCCTGAAAATGTGAAGTGCTCTCTCGGAGAAGAACTAAGAACACTTCAACCATTACCTCAGGTTGGTCTAGATCCCACTGTCTCAGTTTTTACTTTTGTTTTGTTTGAGACAGGCTCTCACTATGTAGCCCTGGGTGACCTGGAACTCTTGTGTTGACCAGGCTGTCCTCTGAGAGATTAGGCTGCTTCTGCCTCTAACTACTGAGATTAAAGGCATGTGCCACCATGCCCAGTTTTCCGAAGAGTTTTTTAAACTCTGGGCTGTGTCCCATACGAGCACCTGAATATGTACCTGAATATGGGCACCGTGAAAACTCTGAGAACAGTAAAGGGTTTCTGTACACACCATGTACAAAAAAGAGTTCCGGGTCACATGTACAATGAATCCCAGGTGCTCTGAGCAGAGCCCCCTGTGTTGCATGACTCTGAGTGTATAACATATGAGTCTCATCTTGGGGACTCTCATGGTAGAGGAGAAACAACTGCCACGAGTTGTCTCTGACCTCCACACGCATGCTGTTCCCTTCCCCCAAACTGAAAAAAGGAGCCTTTTTTGTAATTGCTGTTTGACTTTGACTCTTACTTTAGCTATTGGTTACTATGTCTGTGCAGCAGCATTCTCAGCACTGCTGAGAATAAAACCAAACTATTAAATCAACTCTGAAAAACAATGAAGATGTGCAAAGATTCAGCCAACTTCAATTCTTTATGTAAAAACAAGAACATCCATTTCATTTGTGTGCAAACTCGATTTTGTCTTTAATCAACCGTAAAATTACATGTATACTAGAGAACTGTCTTAAAACAAATTCTTTGATTTATTATCGGTTCCATTTATCCATTTAATACATCTATATATCTAGGGCTGTGCAAAAACTTCTTGGGTGAAAACATATCGTAAGCTCTTACTTCTTTTTAAAGATTTATTTTGTCTGTATCAATGTTCTCCCTGCACGGTTGTCCGTGCTCCATGAGCATGTGGTGATACCTGTGAAAGCCAGGAGAGGGTGGCAGATCTTCTGGAATGGTAGTTACTAGTGGATGTGTATGAATGGCCATGTGGGCGCCAAGAACTGAACCCCGGGCCCTTTGGAAGAGAGAGCAGCAGATGCTCTTAAACCACCAAGCCATCTCTCTAGCCTCAGCAAGAGGACAAGTTTAAGAAGCCCCGGTTCAGACAAAATCTAGAAAAGGCCATACTTAATTCAAATAGAAGCAAAGTAGAAAACATATCAAAAGAAATCATAATACTTTCTAGTCTCAATCATCTTTGGTTTAAGACAATATATAGAAAAATGACCTGCTAAGATGAAACTGGCCAGCTGCCCTGAGAAAGGGGACAAAGATGGGTGTTGTTACAAAGCACATGAGGAGATTAAGTTGGGTATGTGCTGTTTAAAAAAAGAGGCCCTCTAAGGGAGTAGCACTGTTAGCACTATTAGGAGGTGTGACCTTGTTGGAGGAAGTGGGCCACTGTGGAGGTGGACTTCGAGACCTCTTTTGTCCAAGCTTTCCTCAGTGCAACTTTCAGTCATCTTCCTGTTGCCGGCAGGATGCAGGACTCCCAGCTGCCCCTCCAGCATGCTGTCATGCTCCTCACCACAATGATAATGGACTGAACATCTCAGTTAAATGTTTTCCTTCTAAGAGTTGTTGTGGTCATTGTGTGTCTTCAAGGCAATAAACACCTTAATTAAAGACAGGGTCTATTCAAAACCTGAATGCTAAATTGAGGCGAATTAAAGAATGCTGTCTCTGGTTCCAGTTTGTGTTTCCTCTAAGATTATAGGTAGGTGGAGGAGATGGACAGAGAATAGAGAATAAAGCTTTCTTTTTAACTGAAACTCACTCACCATCATATGTGACACATGGTAACCCAGGATGTGGACCATCACTGTCTTCTTTGGTGCAGTGTTATAGACAGTGAACAGTATTATGAGACACATCCTGAAGCATTCAAAGGTACGGCAGAGGCCACAAAACAGAAAGAAAGGCAGCTATGGACAGCTTGGGTATCAGGTGCCTAGGCTCCATCCTCAAGGCCCACCTCACCTGTGTGAAGTTGATTGGTCTGTCTTTGGTAATACAGTCAGCATATTTGCAAGCAAACATCCCACAGTCACTTCCATTCATCTGCTGTGGAATTTCCTAAAAGACAAACAACATACTATTTTTTTTGCAAGCTTCTTTATCAATTTTGCACCATTTCCCTAAATTTTGAACATATGACCTTGGGTCTGCTATTTAAGGCACTAAAGAAAAGTTTAAGGGTAGGATGTTTTCTTCTTTAAAAAAGTAGTATTTCAGTCTCTCCTTTCTGTTTTACTTCATATCAATCACATGGGGGAACTATCGCAGATTTTCATGATACCTAAGGGTGTAGAAACTGGTCCTCCCACTAAGCATCAAATAGTCAAGTATTCTTCACAGGAGTAAGAAAGTCAGCAAAACAGCCTGGCACTTAGAAAACAGTTTCACACAAGAAACATGTTATGAGCTTTCCCCAAAATGATTCACCTTCCTCGAGGAATCAGACAGAGCTCAAGTCAGGCTTGCATGAAGCTAGAAAGCTAAATCAAACAGCAGATAAAACCCTCTCCTCTCCACACCCATATTTTTAAGGATTTATACGAGATGAACAAGAAATATACCTGGCTTTTCTTGCTGAAGAGCTGCCAGCCATTGGTGTCAAACTCTTTCCTTTTCTTGTCAACACTTTCTTGCTTTAGGTATTGCCTAAGGCATCAGAAGAGAATGAGATGAGCTGTGTGGAGTGCTAATGGCAGCTGCCACCCACAGAATGGGGCTGGCAATCCTTGGAAGTCAACACATGAAACTCCCTCCAGCAGCCCACTTTGCCAACCCAGGAGGGCCAGGATGTTTGCTTCTGATTTCATGATAGTAATAGTCTTCAACCAAAGTTCTTCATTCTACTAATCTTCCTAGACAACAATTTTTAAATATTTCTCTTGGTTTGCATGGTCCTTTTAGAGTCTTCAATCTAATGGATAATTTATTATTAAATTATATGAATTATTAAAAGTGTCTCTAGCAGTATCAGGGTATGTATCAGCTGTGTATGTGTTGTAGGGTGATTGTGTGCAGTATGTTCATGTGTTCACACACATGTGGGCATGAATACATGTATGGTGTACATGTGGAAGCCAGAGTGATGAGGAGTCATCCTTGATCACTCCCCAACCTTATTCATTGAGACAGGGTCTCTCAATCAAATCCAAAGCTCACTGATACTACCAGCCTTGCTAGCCAGTTTGTTCTGCCTTCCAAGGCCAGAGTTCAGATGAAGCCATGCCCACATATCACTGATGTGAGTCCTAGGGATCCAAAATATTGGTCCTCATGTTTATGTAGCAAGACCTTTAAACTCCGAGCCTCTCCCTAGCCCAAGAGCATTCTTTTGAAGTTTTAAATGCTCACTTTTTAGGAACCTACTCCCCCCTGGCCATATGCCAGGTGCATAGCAAAAAATAGGTGTTTTAGAAAGAGAAGCAAGTAGGGTACAAGAGACTTGCATTCTAATCTCCAAATGAGCCACTCATTAAGTATTAAGGCCCAAGCAAACCAAAGTCACCTCTGTGGGACTTGATTTTTTCATGCAAAATTTCAGAAAGCTGAATTAAATGAGTTCTGTTGACTTAATCTCTATGTATATAGTTACTCTGTTTTAGTGTGTCAAGACAGCAATTGCCCTTACTAATACATAGTGCCGTAGTATATTGCTAAACTTTACTTGAATTTTAAAATATGCAGTTATACGAGATATGACGGTGTCATTACATTTCTGAAGGGATCAGACAGCTGAGTTTACTGCTGGAAAGACAGAGGAAGCAACAACCTGCCATCTGCCCTCAATTCAACTTACAAGAGGATCCTGCAGGCTTCATTGTTTATTCCACCCATAGAATCGTAGTAGGTGACACTCTTCTTTCTAAAGTCTATGACCTGGGGACAAAACAAAGCAGTGAGGACACTGCTATAGCATCAGTTTTTCCTCTCCAGCTTTTTGTGACACTGTGAGAAGCTGGGGATGTTTGTATTATATTATCTTAGTAACAAGTGGATTATTTATGTAGAGTGATGCTGCGGGCTAATCAACTGGAGGGCCTAGTAATTGTTCTGAAATACTTTTCTACAGCTCAGTTTTCCATGATTAACAACACATGATTCAAAGAAAAGTAGTTAACTATCTCAAGATCATTCCCACAGCTTAAGAAAGATGACAAGATTCTGGGTTTGTCTTTAATCTTGGCCCCCCCCCACCCTGCGCTGCACTCCCCCCCCTTTTTTTGAGATAGGGTCTCTCTGTATAACAACAGCTTTAGCTGTCCTGGAACTCGCTCAGTAGACCAGGCTGGCCTCGAACTCACAGAAATCCTCCTGCCTCTGCTGGGATTAAAGGCGTGCACTGCCACTACCAGACTGCTACTTTCTTTTTTGATTGATATTTTTTAAAAGTAATTCAAAACAGAATATGCAATAACTTTTATTAACATTAATGTATTCATGCTCCCAGAATCATAAAAACACACAAAGAAATTCAAGGCTAGGCAGGAAGTAGCGGCCAGAGCTGGATTTGGCAGCATCACAAACATGCTTCCCCTTGTCTTATGCTGAGGCTGGTAGCTGGCCTACAGCTGCTAATCTTAAGCATCTCCTACTCTGATAGAAGGAAATTCACTCATTTACCTGACTCTTAGCCAAGTTACCCCTATTAAATCCTACTTTCCCCTATAATCAAGCAAAGATGAGAAATCATGACCTTCCATGTTGTCTTTGTGGGTTTCTCTTTCATGTCGTCAAAAATAAAGGAGTTACTCACAGCAAGACACCAGTGCACGCCCAAGTGAATGGGCACCAGAAGAATGTCAACAGAAAACACATCCACTTTCTTTGTCCAACGTTTCACCGCCTGATAACCAGCTGTTTTTAACTTAGTGAAGAAAAAAGTATTAAATGCATGCACGCTCGGAAATCCCTTCTCTTTACTGCGCTCCATTAGCATATTCATGTAGAAATTGATGATCTGCAGAAAGACATTATACAGTAGAACAGTCAGAAAAGCAGCATGACGGGGGAAAGAGCAGCTATTACACTGAATAACAATATGCCATTTACAACTGCTTATGTATGTTTTGAAACCCAACCAACTCAATGAATGCTCAACAGAAAGATTTAAAATATCCAGTTTTTTCTTATGAGGTTTTATCAACCATACTTCTGAAAGTATCAAGCAACTAAGTTTAACTGCTGAAATGCAGAACAAACAGGCAGACACTAGCAGACTTGTAGAAAACGGAGAGGCAGGAGGAAGGAGAGGCTGTGGAGAAAAGGACATGGAGTGTGCTGACAGGCACTGTACCACTTCTGTACCGAGCAGGTGGAGCCTGAGCTCAGTTCCTTCCCCCAGGTCCTTTTCTCCTTGCTCTCTCCCTCCCCTCCCCTCCACTTTCCCTTTCCTCTTCTCTCTCCTTCATTTCACACTCCCTCTGTAGAGACAGGGTCTCACTCTGTAGCAGACTGGCCTGAACTCATTAAACAGCTCAAGCTAGCCTTGAACCTGTGGAACATCTCCCGTTTGAGACTTTGAAGGTGGCATGATTGATTTTGTACAAAGAGAAAATCTGGTTCCACATTCAAAGCCATATCAGCCACACTGTAGCGGCACACTGCTTAGGTTTCAAGCAGATCTGAGCAATCAGAAAACACCTGCAATAGCACAGCAATTTCACTAAGGAGCGAGACATGATATAGTATAAAACTGTTTTCTGTTAAAGACCTAACCATCAAGTCTCGAACAAAAAGACTCTCAGATGTTTAGTTTTCTTGTCTCTTGGCTGCACTACTCCTTCAATAGCAAGTGTGAGTATGGCAAAGTAAAATGCTTGACAGAAGAGATACATGACTCTTTCTGTCAAAGCAATGTCTTCTCTAACAGTAACTATGCTGTCTGTGGTTCCTTTAGGTCCAGAACCCCCTGGCACTAAATCTTAAAAGTACTGGGCCAAAAATTACGGCATACTTACTTTATGTGGCTAGCTAAGGCCAGGCCAGTGTCTGTCAACTGAAAGGAATGAATGGGCCGACTGAGCCACAGCTTGGAACTATGACTATGAAAACAGGCACATTTTTCAGAATGTTTTTTGAGGAATGGGAAAATGCCCCTGTCCTTTGACAAATATTTACACACCAGGATGCCAGAGCAGTGAGCCACTGTCCAACAGCAGGGAACACCGCCAGGAACAGAGCTGAGCATGGTCTAGACCAGAGAAAGGGCCTATAGATACAGATGCAGAGGTAGCTTCAGAGAAACTGCATTAAAGGCTCTAAGGTGACGGGGGGGGGGTGGTGCCCCGGCAGGACTGAACACACTGTTCTGCCTGCAGCTCTGATTACTGTGAATTAGACTCCGAGGAAGCAGAGGACCTAGATTGTGGCTAATTTTATGTCCTGAAGCTGACTGGTTCTTAGTTGTTTTTAATAATGGAAAAAAAAATCAAGGTACAATCAGATATTTTCAAATCTATGTATTCAATTTAACTGCCATAAAGTAGTGTGTGTGTGTGACTTATTGGATCTGTGGAGATGGTCCTTAGTAGGTGCTTAGAGTTAGGGAGCAAGGGCGTACATATCACACAAGCTTGAGTATGGAGGTCAAAGGACAACTCTTAGGAGTCAGTCCTTTCGTTCTACCTTCTGGGTTCTAGGTAATCAAACTCAAGTATTCAGGCTTGGGGGCGCACGCACGCGCGCACACACACGTACATATATATTGATGATTATGGGCAGTTTGCCTGTTGGATTCACTGGAACTGGGTTTATGGACGGTTGTGAGCCACCATATGGGCGCTGGAGTCTAAACCTGGGTCCTCTGCAAGAGCAGCAGGTGCTTTTTACCAATGAGCCCTTTCTCCAGCCCTTAAGGCACTTTTTTGTTTTTTCAAGACAGGCTTTCTCTGTATTTCCATTTGTGAAAACATCTACTAATATAGGCATACCTGCCCAGCAAGCACAGATTTCTTGATAGTACAATCTCGACTGAGAGAAAATTAACCAAAAGGAATGGATAAACTTCTCAGTGAACTGGGTAGACTCTACCTTGTCTACTATGCTATCTATATGACACATGTATTATAAATATTATAAACATACGTTGTAGTTATTTACTGTACCCAAAACTACAGTATACAGGCAGACAACCAGACAGTCCCTGAGAGTCAAGTCTTTTTTGCAGGGGCTGGCAGATTACACTCTTTATCAGGCAATAAGGGCTGCAGAGAAAGGTGAAAGAACAGAGGCAAGGACAGTTGAACACAGAGCCACACAGGTATTTCTCCCCCAGTTATCACCTCTGCAGACAGTCAGGCTGTCCCTTGCTCCCTGAAAGCACTAACTATAAAGCTAGATTGACAAGAACAGAGAATTCTTTCTTCATTGCTGTGTCTCAACACCATCCAAGCTTTTTTATTTTTCTTATTTTTCATTTTAATGGGGAGGGAAATGGCTTCTTCCCACTAGCCAAGAGTTAATTTAATTAGCTCTATGGAATAAAATGGGTTCCTTTCCATATCCTCTATATCCCAGCAGAGGGAGTTTGGTGGCCTCAACATTCCCTCCCATTAGCTGAAAATTTGCAATCTGATATCTAGGCTGAGTTTAGATCCAAGTCTCTCTCAAGTGAAAAAACACTGCCATAGTTCAGCCAAGATACAACCATACTCAAAGTAAGACACTCAAAGAGTCCTACATGTCATCCCACAGAGGGGGCTGGAGATGGACGGAGAAGAAATGAGAGCTGGGATCACAGTGTGAAGATGAGAAGGAAGCAGTGATGCCACATTTGCCCTGCTTTATGAAAACAAAGGTCCCTCCCTTCCCTCCTGAAGAACTGTCTAGGACACAAGAGTCTCTGAGTCCAGCAGGTCTCAAATCCCCTTTGAAAAAGGGGCTAAAGTACACCAGTCCCGTGTCTTACTGTTTGTCTTGCCACTAACGCACACCTGAAAACCACTTGCCACCCTTTCTGGTGCACACTTGCCTGCTGGTGCCAAGAAACCGTCTTCCTACGGTCTGAAGAGCCCTGACTGGGAGTATCTGCTGTCTATGCAGCCTTGTCTGAGGACAGGAAACTGTTTACAGTGTCTTTGTTCCTTTTACATTCTATTTGATAAGCTGCCAGCCCGACGCCACAAAGAAGCATCTTTTTAAAGGAAAATTCTACAGTCTTTTCTTTTTTAAAAAACAAAATTGCCTGAATATATGTCTATGTACCACTTGTATGTGGATCCCCTGGAATTAGAGTTACAGATGGTTGTAAGCTGTCCAGTGGGTGCTGGGAAGTGATTTTGAGTCTTCTGCAAGAGCTTCCCACTGAGCCATCTCTCCAGCTCCAGAAAAATCCTAGTGTGTTTTCAAATGAAGAGTGGGCAGAGAGATAAGGATTTTTTCCCCTGAATGTTGACAGGGTGACATAAAGATCACTGGTATTTGTATCTTTTTTTCTTGTTCAACAAATCTAGAAGTAAAATATTCGCTAGCAGTAAAGTCTTGATGTTTAACTCTCTCACAGTTACTCTGAAACCTGCTTGGCTTAGGAAGACATGGGCACAATAATATTCCTGAGCAGACACTGAGACGAGAAGATAGCAAAATAGCCACACTTGATTATTAATGGTTCAGAGACCATCTAGTCAAGATCTATAGTAATATAGAAAATACACCTTCCCTACTGTATATGATTTTGTCTCCTCATGTGTACGTTCAAGAACAAATGATCGGAATTACTGCTAAAGTCTTAAACGACAGGCAGGCGACACCTACATTTATGGAGAATAACTACTACTTTCCAAATGATCTTGGTTTACCACAGGTAGTTTGGGAACATTCCAGAGGTCAGTCATAAGGACGGGAAAGGATAAGCCTGTGTGTGATCCTAGAAACAATAGTTACTCTGGTGGCTTCATTCTCATGGATGCTTCACATCTGGCAGGTCTATCATGTTCACTTATCTATTTATCTTCATCTGCTAGTTTTTCTCCTTTTCACACAGGTTATTTCTTCCCTATAAAAACCTTATTCTCAGGGTTACATTTTGTGGGCTGTTTCCTCTCTATTAGGCAATACTAGGCTCTACCTATTTCCCGGAGAGAATTATCACCTATGACCACTGTCCCCGCCCCTTTTATTATGTGTATGTGTGTGCATGTGTGTGCTGAGGCTAAAACCCAGGGCCTTGTGCACAGTAGGCAGGAGTTCTACTGAGTAAATATTATGCCCAAACTTTCACTAAATAGTGTGTTCTAAAAGTTAGAATTCTTGACTAAAAAGCATGAACTCCAGCTCTAGATCTCAATTCTGCCATAAAAATCCACTGAGCATGGTACTTCCTTAAAGCCTTACTTTTGTGCTTTCCCACAACCAATCAAATAGGAATACCATCTCTATATACAAGTCTATTGCAATTTTGAAAAGCTGAAAGGCATCTCTCTTCAGAGATGAGGCTTACAAATGGCAGCCCACCTGGTTAGCTTGTAGTCTGCTATGTAGACTCTCCTTGATTCCTCCCTCTTCTCATATTTGAGATTTTCCCCATGAGCTTTCCTTCCCAGCTTAAGTTACAAATAGCACATTCTAATATTTCAGTATTTTACTTTGAAAGCAACCAGTAATAATCAGTATAAGACCCCTGTCCCCCAAAGGGGCAAATATATCTTCTTGCTAGTTTCCGTTCATCCATCTAAATTAGTTGTTAGCAATGACTTGGAGACTAGGCTCTTGGAGGACACATGAAAGCAAGAAACATGCCCGTCATGCTGAGTCTTCACACTGCACTGAGTCCCTGCCTATTCCACCAGCTACTGAGAGAGTGAGGAGTGCTGGGATCTCTGCAGCAAGCACAGCTCTGTCTCCTCTATCAGCTTTGCTTCACATGTTTTGAATGTGTCACTAAAATATATATGCACTTAGGCTTTGTCGATGAACTGACCTCTATTGCTGTGAAATTACAATTGCTGCATATCATCAGTC